TTTTATCATGGATCACTCCAAGCAAGACATCTTCTAAATCCGTCTATCTAGGTATCTATCTATCTAGGTATCTATCTATCTAGGTATCTATCTATCTATCATCTATCTATCTATCATCTATCTATCTATCTATCTATCTATCTATCTATCATTCCATTCTATCTATCTATCTATCTGATCTATCTTATCTATCTCATCATCTATCTATCTATTCTATCTATCTATCTATCTATCATCTATCTATCTACCTCCAGTGGTACCTCAGGATTATCAATACTCTATCAGGTTACCCAGACTCCGCTAACGCCATCAAATATGCTTCAGGTTAAAAACTTTGCTTCAGGATAAGAACAGAAATCGTGCTCCAGCGGTGGGGCAGCAGTGGGAGGCCCCATTAGCTAAAGTGGTGCTTCAGGTTAAGAACAGTTTCAGGTTAAGAACGGACCTCCGGAACGAATTAAGTACTTAACCCGAGGTACCACTCTATCTATCATCTATCTATCTATCTATCTATCTATCTATCTATCTATCTATCTATCATCTATCTATCAATATCTATCTATCTATATCTATCTATCTATCTATCTATCTATCTATCTATCTATCTATCATCTATCTATCTATCTATCTATCTATCTATCTATCTATCATCTATCTATCTATCTATCTATCTATCTATCATCTATCTATCATCTATATCTATCTATCTATCTATCTATCTATCTATCTATCTATCTATCTATCATCTATCTATCTATCTATCATCTATCTATCTATCATCTCTCTAGCCCCATTTCTCTCTCCCTCTATCATATCTATCTCTCTATAATCCATTCATCCATCCATCCATCCAACTAACCAACCAACCTCATCTCTTTTTCTCTATCCTATCTATCCATCCATCCATCCATCCATCCATCCATTATTAACTACTGCGTATTTTCAGTTTTGCTAAAAATGTAACTTAACTAGATTCTCCCCTAGATTTTCAATTAACTACCATCTGCTGGACCCAAACACCATTCTTCCACAACACACACCTTTTACTATAGCCTTCTTGTATTTCTAAGGCATAGGTTTTATACGCAAAAGAAAGGGAGGAAAACCAAAGCAGAAATGAACTTTCTTTCCTGTTGTTCGCCAGCAAACTCCACGGTTTCTGGGGAGAGGCAACAACCACTATTTGTTATCATCTGAGCAGTGTTTTGGCTGAAGAGCTTTTACGCCATTACTCAGGGCACATCTGCACCTCAGCTTAATGTGCGTTAGGGTACCCTTTGTGCACCCATCAATCCCACCCCCATTCGTACAACATTCACCGGAAAGAGCTGTCGCCCCAAACCTTCTCCCTGCTAATATCTAGCGCTTCCTAATTCTCAGAAAATCCAAAAGGGACATCTGCTCAGCTTTAAAAGAGCTTCTGTTGGCTTTCTGCAGACAACTTTCTCCAATTTTCCCTAGCATGTAAGTGCTTTTGATGCGGAGCAGCTTCTATAGGTGTGTTGGGAACAGCAGAGAATGGAGGTGGAAACTCCAGGTTAAAATCATATCTGGATACAAGCAGCTCAGGTATATGCAAAAGGTAAAGGACCCCTGGACGGTTAGGTCCAGTCGAAGGCGACTATGGGGTTGTGGCGCTCATCTCGCTTTCAGGTGGAGGGAGCCGGCGTTTGTCCACAGACAGCTTTCTGGGTCATGTGGCCAGAAGCACTAAACCGCTTCTGGCGCAACAGAACACCGTGATGAAAACCAGAGCGCATGGAAACATCGTTTACCTTCCTGCTGCAGTGGTACCTATTTATCTACTTGCACTGGCGTGCTTTCAAACTGCTAGGTTGGCAGGAGCTGGGGCAGAGAAACGGGAGCTCACCCCATTGTAGGGATTCAAACTGCCGACCTTCTGATCGGCAAGCCCAAGAGGCTCAGTGGTTTAGACCACAGCGCTACCTGCGTCCCTAGCTCAGGTATAACTGCCAGGGGACAAATTGGATTACATAAAATGCGGAGAATAAACTATACCTTCGCTGGAGACAAGTCTAGCTAAATCCTATAAACCTGTTTCATCATATGTGAGGGAATGTTCCCTCAAAGTTATTTATCGACTTATTAAATTTATAGACCATCTTTCAACCTCAGACTGCAGACTGGCTTCAGCAAAAGGAACCTGAAGCCTGTGGAGCACAGTGGGAACTCGCGCTGCGCTCTGAAGGCTTCAGGGATCTTTGAGGCTGGCGGTGGGGTAAAGCAGCACTCCCCCCCCGCCAGCCCCACAAGCTCAGGGGGCAGCGCACTTGAACGCACCTTGTTTTAGAGGGGGAGAACAAGAAAAAAAAATTCTCCCCCTCTTTGCGCAGTGCCCCTTCAGCGAAGCGGGAGGAGAAATGGAAGGGGCTCCGTTTCTCCTGCCGCTTTGCTGAAGGGGTGCTGAGCAGAGAGGGGGAGAATTTTTTTTCTTGTTCTCCCCCTCTAAAACAAGGTGCGTCCTATGGTCCGGTGTGTCCTATAGAGCGAAAAATGCGGTAATTTTGCATCCTCCACAGGCATAACCCATGTGAGAACAGCACCCAGGATTCCGGTTTCACGCTGTGCAGAAGCCACGATGCGCGAGGGCAAGGGTAGAGTCGAGGTGTGGAAGTCAGGGAGAAAACAGAAACGAAGAGTCGTCCAAATCAAGCCGAGGAAGAGCCAACTGAGCCAACAGGAAGCGTGGGGAGAAAAATCGACTCAACAAGGCTGTTAGAGGGAGGCAGAGTTACCTAGTGGTGACATAAGGCAGGATTCCTTGAGAGGAGGAGAACGCTCTGCAAAGACTGCTTTCCGCTCCAACTCAAAGGAACCCCGCGCCGTTCACGGCTACTCTGAAGCCCTGTCCAAGTTTTTGTGGGTTGTTTTTTTTATTTAAAAAACAGCAAAGATAAGAGAAGACAGGGAGACACAGAGAACAGCCTGCCACAGCCAATCATGCAGTTGGAAAAATAGAAAATAAAAAGTGAGAGGGAGAGAGAGAGAGAGAGAGAGAGAGAGAGAGAGAGAGAGAAAGGAGGGTTTGTGTGTGTTATGTTTGTGCCTGTGTGTGTGAAAACCACCTCGTCCGTTGTTGTTAAAAGCAAAGATCCGTGAGAAGCCCAGGTTGGGGTGCTGCCAGCCAGGGAGCGTAGACACCCCCGGTTGTGGTGGGGGAGAGGTGGGTGAAGGGGAGGGGGGAAACAACAGCGAAGGGAAACAATCCATTAAACTAAAACCACCACCAGATTGCATCCTGGTGTCACCATTAATCCCAGCGCCCTCCGCCACTCAGGGCTTAGGGTGGCCGAAAGGCTGCCTTTGTCCTAAAGGCTAGAAAGCGTCATGGATCATGGGAAAGGGGTCGGGCCGGCGGGGCAGCGGGGTTTAAGAAAGGAGCGCTGGCTCCCAGCCATTTTTCTTCCCCCTTCATCAGTGCTCTGTTCCTTTCTTCTGCACAACAAGCCCCGTGTGGCTGTCAATGTGCTCCTCTCAGTGGCTGCGTTCCCTAGGGGCCAATTCCCCACGTTGCGTTCGAGCTTCGGCACAGCGGAAAAGCCACTCCCAGAGCTACAGCCGAACAGAGGTTTCGCGCTCAGTTTCCGTATAACCGGCGAACTCTTCTTCTCCTTTCCCGCGAGCGAGCGAGCGAATACGCTCTTCGTCCGGCTGCGGACGGCTTTTACGCTGTGCGAGAGCTCAAGATACGAACTTGGCAGCTAGGCGGAAGCCACGGAAATGGAACAAACCGCTGTGGGAATGCAGCCGAAGAGGGGGGCGGCTCGGCCCGCGCCACAGATGCTTTGAGTTCGAAACACACCTGGAAGGCGCCGGGTTGGCAAAAGCGCCGGTGTGGGGACATTCTCGCCAAACAGGCACAAGGCACCCGGTATGGGACAACAACAACTCTTACACCCTACCCCTCGTGGGCCACTAAGAGGCCACGCATCCATTCATCCCAAGCCATCCACCCTGCCCATCAGCTACAGGTAGCTCTCTTGCCACTTAAAAGTTTGGCAACGAACTGGAATTTGAAAGAAACGTCTCAGAACCTAAAGGAAGCAGGCAGCGGACCTCTGGTTTGGGGACAAACAGAAGAAGTGCAATGTTCCCTTGGTGCAGATGGAGACAGGTATCATCAGTTCCTTCAAGAGGAACCTATGCATAGCTGTCAGCTTAGAGATTTGAAAATAAGGGATCAGCAGCCAAAATAAGGGATTTTCCAAGCACAGGTATGTTCAACTTCTGAGCCCCTCCGAGCCAAAGGCAGAAAGCCCAGCCAGCAGCCAAACGAAGCCTCAAGCGGTGGTTCCCACAGTGCAGCAACCCGGCAAAAGGGATGCAGCAAGGAAAACCACCATCACCTCTCTGCTGGGAAGCGCTGAGCAAAGGCGAGTCCCCAGGCAACGCGGCCGATTTGATGGGCACAAGGCATGCAAGCTCCACCTCCCAGTCGTTCTCAGACTCCTTATTGGGTGAGCAACGCAGCCAAGCAACACAGTTGGAGCCTCCCTCCTCCCTGGCCAGCAGGGAGGGAGGGAGAGGAGCTGCTTCCTTTGAAACCCAGGAAATTTAAGGGACATAATCCATAAGGGGAAACGGCGCTGGGATAAGGGACTTTCCCGCCAAATAAGGGACGGTTGACAGCTATGCACCTGTGCCCTCTGCAAAATGGTTTAAATGCAGACACCTGTGCGGACGGAGGGACCAGGATGGGCTGCCCACCTGCCTACACGTCCACACAACATGCATGATCACCAGCTGGTTTGGACCGAACGGAGCCCAGAGAGCAAAACAGACCCTCCGATTAAGTGCCAGGGGATGACACCAGGAGAAAGGACCGAATCGAGGTGCGCAGCTTCCCGTGCCCACCCTCCGGCGCCCGCTCTCCCCCCGAGCTCACCATCCCGTGACCACCATCCGCACCTCCTCCCAGACGAGGGATTCCCCCCCCCCACTGGCGGAGAATTTTGTGGAAAGGAAAAAAAGACACCTACTAGCCTGCAGGGTTCGCTCCCTGACCTCCGGGGTTTCGGCCCCAATGCCCAAGGCCGAGCGAGCAGCCAGTTTGAAGACATACTCTGTGTTCGGCTTCAGGTCTCTCACGGTGAACGAGGTCACAGGGTCAAAGGTCCTCGTCTGCAGAAGGGGGGCAGCGGGGAGATGAGAAGGGGGTGGGGTGGGGAAACGGGGAGACAAACCGAAGTGCAAAAAGTGTGAACAGGCACAAGAGGCACACCCGTTTCCCTGCAACCAACACTCAGTTCTTGCGAATGCGCTGTTTACGTTGCTCCCGAACTACAACTCCCATGAGCCTCAGCAGCATGGAATGGGGTCAGCCTTGGAAAAGGGGGTCAGCTCTCCTTCCGCAGAGGGTTTTAAGTAGAGGTTCAGTGGCCCCCTGCCTGGGATTCTTTAGCTGTGGCTCCTGCATTGCCAAGGGGTTGGACTAGATGAGCCTTAGGGGTCCCCTTCAAACCGTGCAATTAAACGATTTCATGAGAAGCATGGCCGATGGTAATGGGAGCTGCAATTCCGCAGCATCTGAGGGGGGGGGTCTGAGGGGGAACTACACTTAAAAACAACAACTATATTAAACATTTTTGAATATACAAACGAAACCAACAGGATACAGTGGTACCTCAGGTTAAGTACTTAATTCGTTCCGGAGGTCGTTCTTAACATGAAACTGTTCTTAACCTGAAGCACCACTTTAGCTAATGGGGCCTCCTGCTGCCGCCGCGCCGCCAGAGCAAAATTTCTGTTCTCATTCTGAAGCAAAGTTCTTAACCTGAAGCACTCTTTCTGGGTTAGTGGAGTCTGTACAGTGGTGCCTCGCAAGACGAAAAGAATCTGTTCCGCGAGTCTCTTCGTCTAGCGGTTTTTTCGTCTTGCGAAGCAACCCTATTAGCGGCTTAGCGGATTAGCGCTATTAGCGGTTTAGCGGCTATTAAAGGCTTAGCTGCTAAGAGGCTATTAGCAGCTTAGCGGCTTAGAAAAAAGGGGGGGGAAGCGGGAAAAAAATCGCAAGACTTGCAAGACGTTTTCGTCTTGTGAAGCAAGCCCATAGAGAAAATCGTCTTGCGAAGCAACTCAAAAACGGAAAACCCTTTCGTCTAGCGGGTTTTCCGTCTTGCGAGGCATTCGTCTTGCGGGGCACCACTGTAACCTGAAGCTTCTGTAACCTGAAGCGTATGTAACCCGAGGTACCACTGTAGACGCAAGGAGGCAGCTTAGGACAGCTCGATAACAACACACACAAATTATCTTAATACTCCCTTTCTCTTTTACATTTTTTACAGGTTTCTGAGATGGAGCAATTCATATATTATGGGCCTTTTTGAGTTATTAGTTTTTACTGGATTTACACACGAGGAGCTCAAAGCAGCATTTACGTGGTGAACCCCTGGTCTTCATTTAATCCCCACAACAACCACCCTGTGAGGTAGGTCAGGCTGAGAGCTGTGACTGGCCCACGGTCACACCTGGTGTGCTTCATGGCTGAGCGGAGGTTCGAACCCAGCTCTCCCAGGTCCTAGACCAGCGCTCTAACCACTACACCATCTTTTTACACCAGCAGAGTCAACGAACGCTTTCCGTGCATTCTCAAATGCCCTTGATCTTCTGCACGTGGCTTCTGTGCTCATTTCTCCAAAGGAGCACTTTGCCAAACTTTTTGATGCCGCCGGTCGATATTTATGCTCTTCCAGTTATGAGCTGCAACTGCTCCGGCAGCCGAGAGTAAACGACTCGGCCGTCTTTATGATTAATATCTGGATTTCTATCCAAAAACCCTTTTCAGCCGAACCGATGTCGCGGAGAGGGGCGCGTTTTATTTTATTTGCTTACCATCCTCACGTAAGCAAGAGGTATTATCAAGGGCACATCCTGGCCAAGTAAAACAACAATAATAATTTAATTATTTGTACCCCGCACATCTGAATGGGTTGCCCCAGCCACTCTGGGCAGCTTCCAACAGATATAAAAGCATAATAAAATATCAAAACACTACAAATCCCCTCTATACAAGACTGGATCCAAAAAGCTGACAGAATATGCCGAATTAGACGGTCTGTCAGAAAAAATAAAGAATCAATCAAAACAGGAATTTGTTTCAAAATGGGAGGTTTTCAAAGAATATTTGGAAAAAATAAATAGAGTAGTTCAAATTCTGTTGCAGCATTCGAGGAGCTTCAGTAATAGTTGCAAGGTAGATATAAGAAATTAGATATATTAAGAAAAAGTTTAATTATGATAAAAGTGTGCATTGGCAATAAGTAATATGAAATCGAAATACGGAATAGATGGGAGGTTGGGTCTTTAGTGTTAAGACCAATATATGTTTTATTGTTTGTTAAGAAAATTATGTGTCTATGGTTATTCCTGTGTGTAATTTGGTATTTGTGTTTCTTCTTTTTTCTTGCTGTATCTATCTATCTATCTATCTATCTATCTATCTATCTATCTATCATCTATCTATCTATCTATCATCTATGTATCTCTCTATCTCTCTATCATCTATCTATCATCTATCTATCTATATCTATCATCTATCTATCTATCTATCTATCTATCTATCATCTATCTATCAAAACATTACAAATTTCCTTAAAAAGGACTATGGGGGGAGCCCACAGAGAGGGGCATGGCCTGGGTACCAAAGGCCAAACAGAGACTCCCCCGCCGGAATTAAGCTTCCTCGCTATTACTCTAGGCAGCCCCTGAATTAAACACAATAAAATGCAATCAATAAACAACTTAAAAACTATCGACGTGGAAGCGGTGCCAGCACAATGTTTAGTGCAAGCCGGCATAAAGCCATAAGAAGCAGGATGAAATCGATATGGAAAATAGTTCTGAGAGCCAGGAAGTGGGGCTCAGGAAGCGTGATTGTTCTAAGAAATAAAAAGAATGTGTTTTTTGTTTTTGTTTTGGAAAAGGGCTTTGGAGGACGGGGAGTTCTGCTCTTTGCCCTGAATGGGTCCTAGCACAAGTGCCAGGCGAGTGTCTCTGGAGAGAGCATTCCGTCACCAGGGGAGCCACCACAAAGAAGCCCCCGCGAAAAAAGCACTTACCTCGGGTTTTGCCTGTGTGGCGTCTTTGAAAACCAGCTCATACTTCAATATGATATCCTGGCGGGGAGGACTCCAGGTCAGCAAAATGCTGCTATCGCTCTTGGCTTCTGCACGGAAGTTCATGGGTTGACCGGGAACTGATGAGAGCAGGAAAAACGAAAAGACCCAGACGTTGTTGTAGGTAAGAATATAAGAACGTAAGACGAGACCTGCTGGATCACGGCCCAGCACACTGCTTTCACGGAGGGAGGGAGGAAGGGGGAGAGATTGGACAAACAAGAAAACATTCCCCCCCTTCCTTGCTTGTTTTTTGGCAATCTGTCTTCCTGTGTGTGCGCCCCACCTCCCCGCCATTTACATAAATTACAGTGGACGCTCAGGTTGTGAACGTGATCCGTGTGGGATGCACATTCGCAACCCGCAGCGTTCGCAACCCACAACGGCGCGTCTGCACATGTGCGGGTTGCGATCCAGTGCTTCTGCACATGTGCAAAGTGCAATTTAGTGCTTCTGCACATGCGCGACCGCCAAAACCCAGAAGTAACTCATTCCAGTACTTCGGGTTTCGGTGGTCCGTAACCTGAAAAAACGCAACCTGAAGCATCTGTAACCCAAGGTAGATAAAAAGGTAAAGGTACCCCTGCCCGTACGGGCCAGTCTTGACAGACTCTAGGGTTGTGCGCCCATCTCACTCAAGAGGCCGAGGGCCAGCGCTGTCCGGAGACACTTCCGGGTCACGTGGCCAGCGTGACGAAGCTGCATCTGGCGAGCCAGCGCAGCACATGGAAACGCCGTTTACCTTCCCGCCAGTAAGCGGTCCCTATTTATCTACTTGCACCCGGGGGTGCTTTCGAACTGCTAGGTTGGCAGGCGCTGGGACCGAGCAGCGGGAGCGCACCCTGCCGCGGGGATTCGAACTGCCAACCTTTCGATCGGCAAGCACTAGGCGCTGAGGCTTTTACCCACAGCGCCACCCGCGTCCCATAACCCAAGGTATGACTGTATAAATTTGTAGGAATCAACGTTGACTCGTCGTGTGAACGCTCGCCTAGCAAATGATTTTTCCTGAGAACGTGCTGCATTCAAATGGTGGGACCCGCGTTGTAGTCACAACGCTGGCTCGGCGAGGACTCACCTCCTTGCTTGGTTTTGACCTGGATCGGGTCCGAGAGTGGCCCGTCTCCCACGGAAGTGAAAGCCAGGACCCGAACGGTGTAGGTTTCCATCTCCAGGAGACTGCTGACGGTGGTCAGTAGGCTGTCGTCGACATTGTGCTTCTGCCAATTGCTGACCGGCTGGTCTGGCTCCATGGTGTAGTAGACCCTGTAGCCGCGGATCTGACCGTTCGGCTCCACGGGCTCCTCCCACTGGATGATCATGGTCGAGGCGCTCAGCATCCGGCCCTGGACGTTGCGGGGGGCGCTGGCCGGCGCCTGCTCCCCTGTCCGCATCACCACGGGGTCGCTGGGCGGCCCCTGGCCGATGGTGTTGACGGCCGACACCCAGATCTCGTACTCCGAGTTGGGGCTGAGCCCCCCGATGCTGTAGCGGGTGGTGGTGATGTCTTCCTTGATCTGGTAGGGCCCATCCTGGCTCTTCGACTTGTACTCGATTACGTAGTAGGACACGGGGTCGGGGTTCCCCGAATCCCATGTGATGGTGATGCTCGTCGCGGTCGTCTCCGTCACTATGGGGGTTCCTGGAGCTTTGGGGAGCGCTGAGAAACAAACCGGGAGAGGAAAAACTCAGGGAAACGAAAACCAAATGCGAACAGCAGGGCGCCATATGCTAAATGCTGCACCTAATTGGTGCGTTAGGGCATAGGGAGCCGGCAGCGCAGGTCTATAGACGGCGCGGCTGTTTGGAGAAATGTTCCCAGCCTTGTTAGGCACAGTTTATTATCCTCCTTAAACGGCTCAATCAAAAGGGAAAGTGCTCGGCTCAGCATCTGGAATCATTAACGTGAGCTCTGAGCTAAAAAGCAACAACCCACCAACCAACAGTTTGCTTTGTGAGTGTCTGAAAGCAGCAGCCAGGTGTGAGCTGAGCGCCTTGAGCGTGGCCGCCATTTTGGAACACCTCTCGCTCGGAAAACATCTTGGAAAGGGCAAAATATCCACCGTACTAGGGAGCATGGAGGAAAGTGGGAAGAGACAGGAATTACTCCCGTTCTTTTAGAACATAATATCAATAGCCAAGAATCTGGTAGATTAGTCTCAACCACACAGAAAAATGGTTTGGTCTTTTGAAAGGCTAATTGGAGGTGGTTAGGCAAATTAAGAGAAAAACAAAATGTGGATCGGATGAACAGCATCATTTGTTTTGATAATTGGCTGCAGAAACAAACAAATGCCGCAAAGGAAGAAATATTGCGTATTACAGTAGACTGAACATTCTGCTAAATGGAAGTTTCTCAATTCTACTTGTAGAATAATGTTGAGAATTTGAAAGAATATGAATCCTGAAATCATGGAGTTGAAAAGGACCCCGAGGGTCATCCAGTCCAACCCGTTGCAACTAGATCATACATGAGAGATCGGCACCCCAACCTCATCTTAAAAACCTCTAAGTTAGGAGAATCCCCTACCTCTCATGGGAGCCCGTTCCACTGTCAAACTACTGTTCATGCGGGAAGGGGGCAAATTATGTTTATACACACAATTCAAAGTGTTGGTGCTGACCTTGAAAGCCCTAAACGGCCTCGGTCCAGTATACCTGAAGGAGCATCTCCACCCCCATCATTCAGCCCAGACACTAAGGTCCAGCGCCGAGGGCCTTCTGGCAGTTCCCTCCCTGCGAGAAGCCAAGTTACAGGGAACCTGGCAGAGGGCCTTCTCAGTGGTGGCACCCGCCCTATGGAACACTCTCCCACCAGATGTCAAAAAGAACAACAACTACCAGACTTTTAGACGACATCTGAGGGCAGCCCTGTTTAGGGAAGCTTTTAATGTTTGATGCATTACTGTATTTTAGTATTGTGTTTGAAGCCGCCTAGAGTGGCTGGGGAAACCCAGCCAGATGGGCGGGGTATAAATAATAAATTATTATTATTATTATTATTATTATTATTATTATTATTATTACCCTGCTCAATATTATTTCTGCAATGCAGTTTGTTATTGGGCGGCTGGGGCAGGGGAGAGAGCACAGAAAGCCCCCTCTCTACTGAGTCGGACCACTGGCCAACGGAGTCCAGAGTTTCTGCTGACCGACAATCTCTCCCTTCAGGGTCCTTCCCAGTCTCTGCTCCTTGAGCCTATTCACTGGCGATGGCAAGGTTTGAACTCGGGGCTTTCAGGTTCAACCCCTTCCAAGAGCCCCTTTAACCCCCCCCCCCGCAACTCCATTAGAGAACACGTATCTGATGCCCCCCCCCGCCCCTCTCAGAACCACCCTTCAAAGCCTCCTTCCTCAGCAACTTCTTTGGCTTAGCTTGTTCTCTACAAGCCTGAACACAACCCAAAACCAAGTGCGCATCCTCTGTCCCCTGGTCATTCCTCGTTTCCCAGCTCCCTCTTATCCCTGTGTCAAATTGTTGACTGTATTCTCCTCGGGGGCAGAGGCCTGCCTTTTTTTTTTTTTTTTTGCTGTCGTCGCTCTGCAAAAACGCCACATGCTTTATTAAAAAACGAACGGGAAGTAAACCGTCACGCATCATACAATGCTGGCATAAAGACACTAGGCTCATGCAAAATTCACAGGAAACCCGTGCACACTTAAGAACGGATGCATGAAGTACCCAAGGTGTGTTCTGGCCACATCTCGAGTTTTCCGAAAAGCCCAGGGCTTCCATTCTCATGCGGCAGCCTCTTGCTAGAGCTCTCGGGCGATTTGGGAGACATGCGGAAGCTGACCTGACAGATGGTTAGCAGCGGTATCACGCACAGATGCATCTCTGAACGCTTCGTTCATGCTTTCTCTACGCATGCGAGCAAAGGGGTGCCAGCTGACTGAGCCCGGGAGCCCCAGCCCCGCTGACCACTGCCCAAAAGTTCTGCCCTGGCAGCAGCACCACTCGTCCCCAGCGGAAGCAAGCTCTTCAGATCAGCCAAGGAACAAGCAAGGAGGAGCAACTGACAGAGAGATGGGTGATGCAGAAATCGCAGGCAGGCGTGCAAATGCGAGGGAGGGGACAAGCTGGGAAGCCAAAACAGTCAGGGGCCTTGAGCAGCAGTCCTCTTTCCCTGTCTCTGCTAACCAGACTGGACCCATGGCCAACGTGAGGGCTGTGAAGACCCGCCGGGAAGACGCGAGCGGAGTCCCCGTCATGCCAAGCGCCCGACGGCGGGAAAATTAGCCTTGCTTACATTTCACAGTGATCTGTGCCACGGCTTCGATGACACCCAGGCTAGACATGGCCACGCAAGTGTAGTTGGCCGAGTCCTTCACATCCGTCAGTTCCAGGACGTTCCGCCCCACGGGCATGTCGTCCTCCGGCGTCAGGTCTTCCGCCCCCTGCATCCACTTGACGTAGGGCATGGGGGAGCCCACCGCCACGCAGGTGATGTTGACGTTGCCTCCAGGCATAATCTCGTGGCTGGAGGGAGGGATGGAGAAGCGAGGGGCCACGCGACGCACTGCGGACAAAAGGCACAGAGGTAACAAAAACAAAAGCAAAATAAAAAAGGGGGGAATAAAAAGGAGAGAGAGAGAGGGGGGAAAAAAGAAAAAGAAAAGAAAGATAAGGGGGAAAGAAGAGCAGAAGAGATTTTAAATACAGATGGGGCTTCAGCTGTTATCATTTTGTTGTCGTTCCTTCATTTAAAGGGGGAGGGGGACAAAAAAAAGAAGCTGAAATTAAAAATCATCAGAATACCGAGAAATGATAATCAATCAATAAAGGAAAAAACCAAACGAACAGAACTTCGAAAATAATTTTACTTTCACAAACGATATGTAGAATATAGACATAAAAGCGGTATCTCATAGCAACAGGAGTCCATTGATCGATTTTAAGACCCATCACAGCACAAATAAATACACAAAAATTTATTAGCAATTTCTCATCTTTAAGAGAGCAAAAGAAGTTGGGCGTGGCACTTCCGGGCTGTGGGGCCCCCTCCCTGCGTACGTTGGGGTGGGCTATCCTTCTACTCCCCTTCCCCGACATTTTCGGCAAGGCCCCTTTCCGGCGGAGGCGAAGGGAAGGGAAGGGGACCTTCCCTCAAATCGGAAACCAGGTTTTCAAAGTGGACCCTTGCAAAGCTAAATTGGCCCCCTCCAGAGACCAACACCCCTCAAAACAAAACAGTGGACGGGGGAAGCAAGACTGGAAAAAGAGGGGGGGGAGGGGAATGCAAATTTTCAAGTGAGGAGGTCACACGTGCCGAAACTGGTGCATCTTTCGCACACAGAACCACGCACGGCCACAACAATCTTGAGAGGGTAGACTGAGAATCCACGTCGCCTTTCCAAAAGGGAAGGAAGACCCACCTACCCATTAGGATAGGGGTTGCAGAAAGTGCTGTTTTTCTAGGGGAAAAAGTACTCACCACGAAGGCCTCCCTTGTTCTCTTACAATGGCGCCCACTTAGCTTTGGTGGAAAGAAGAAGCAGCCCTGTTTGCGGAGCCTGCGACCCTCCAGATGCCGCTGGAGTAAAACTCCCACCATCCCCTGATGGGAAATGGACTCCAACAAGATCTCTGGCGTGGGGGCACAGCTTACCCCTCCCTGAGCTAAGAAGAAGCATCCTCTGCTCTCAGGAGGAAATGCCTCTCCTAAATGAGGCATTCTTCCCTCTCTTGCGTGCAGCAGGGAACACCTGCTTCTCAGGTCAGGAATTAGGAACCTGCGGCCTTCGAGATACTGCGGGACTACAATGCCCATCATCCACAGCCAGGCATGTCCAAAGTCCATTTTGGGGGCCTAATCCTGCCCGCTGGTCAGTTTAATCCGGCCTCTGTGGCAGTTAATTTCCTAGGGTAAAAAAACTCAGCAACTTCAATCCTAAAAAAGGTCAACAACATTGGTTGGCCCTCACGGCCCTTCACTTCATCAAATCTGGCCCTCTTTGAAAGAAGTCTGGACACCACTGTACCTCGGCCATTGGCCATGCTGGTTGCAGGGGCTGGTGGGACTTGGTAGTCCGACGAATTGGGGGCTGTCCGGCCGGCCTGCGGCTTCCCCATCCTAGCATCTGGGCAGATGTGGGGCACAATGAACATCTGCATGGGCTCAAAGCCCTGGTCCTTTCTAGAAATGGGCACAGCTCCTAAGGGAGACTGGAGGGACAGAGCAGTTCTTGCCGCAGCCCCCCCCCAAACTTAAGGGAGGTAAAAATGGGTGGGATTGGGAGCTGGGTGGGAGGGAAAGAGGGCTTGTTCCCTGGAGGTGGCCAAAATCTAGCCTGCAAACCGGAAGTGGGGAGTTCACAAGGGTGTCCCCTCTGGGTGGTGGGGGTGAGGGGTCCCCCCCTTTCTTGTTCTCACCCCACCCCCCCCACCTCCACAAAGCGACCCAGAGGTGTGCACGGCGAGAGGGAATGTGGCGGCGAGGCAAGAGCCAGCAAGAGGGAAAAGATGAGAAACTCTAATGAAATTTTTGTGGTTTTCGGGCAGTGAAACCCTAACGAAGCCTCTTTGAAAGATCTGACATGATTCCATCAATAGATGCAGCTCTCAGAATCACAAACATCATGCAAAAGAGAAGAATGGAGATAAGAGAACGAGAAAGGAGGAGGAGGAGAAGAAAGAGAGAGAGAGAGAGACAGAGACAGGGAGGAGGAGGAGGAAAGGAGAATGGAGAGCATTGGAACTGGTTTGTGGGCCACTGCAAATGCCCACATGGGTAAGGAAAATAGAAAAAGAGACCAGGAGAGAGAGAGAGAGAGAGAGAGAGAGAGAGAGAAAGAAAGAGAGAGAGAGACAGAGAGAAGGGTTAAGGGTCAGGGGGGGGGAACCCACTTTTTAAAAATGCTGCATACTCATTTTATTTATTTTTTCTTGCCGATGTGAACCAATGCGCAGTAGGTTTTAACATTGGCACATCGCAGCCCTGGCATAATAATAATAATAATAATAATAATAATAATAATAATAATAAAAACAATTGATAATAATCATAAGAGGAAGGAAAAACAAGTCCATGGAAACGGGCAACTTCGAGAACGGAAGCAAACAAACGAAAGAATGGATGGATGGATGCCCAGCGCACCTCCTGGGTGGAAGGACGAAGCTTTCCAGACCTTTAAATGGGGTGGGGTGGGGGCAAAAAGGGCAAGGAGAAGAGGGTGCTTTTTCCAGGGTGGGGTGGGAGCAGGCAGGGGCAGGTCCATATTTTATTTTATTTTTAAAATTTTTGTAGGAATTCTGAAAATCTCCTGTTCTCCCACTGGCCCCAGAAGTGGGTGGGTGGGTGGGGACAGTGATCTAAAGGCTGTGGAACTGGTTTTTTGGGTGGGGGCCCTGCAATGTCCAGGGCCCTGCTGCAAGAGAAACACCCCCCCACCCCGATTTAGCAAGCCTGCTTTACAATTTTATGAAGATTTCAAAGTAATCCCTCCTGCAACCTCACTGGGTTGTATTCAGCCTTAAGCTCCACTCCATAGCTGTCAACCGTCCCTTATTTGGTGGGAGAGTCCCTTATCCCAGCGCCGTTTCCCGCTGCTGTCCCTTATTGATGATGTCCCTTAAATTTCCCAGGTTTCAAAGGAAGCAGCTCCCTGTTGGTCAGGGAGGAGGGAGGCTCCAACTGTGTTGCTTGGCTGCGTTGCTCACCCAATAAGGAGTCTTAAGAACGACTGGGGGGGTGGAGCTTGCATGCCTTGTGCCAATCAAATCGGCCGCATTGCCTGGGGACTCGCCTTTGCTCAGCGCTTCCCAGCGGAGAGGTGACGGTGGTTTTCCTTGCTGCGTCCCCTTTGCCGGGTTGCTGCGCTGTGGGAACCACCACTTGAGGCTTCGTTTGGCTGCTGGCTGGGCTTTCTGCCTTTGGCTTGGAGGGGCTCAGAAGTCGAACATACCTGTGCTTGGAAAATCCCTTATTTTGGCTACTGATCCCTTATTTCTGAGGCTGCTGGTCCCTTATTTTCAAATCTGTAAGTTGACAGCTATGCTCCGCTCATTACAGTGGGCTTGTTACAAGGCAGGTTCCTATCTTCCTATTTAAATCGTCCCCTTTTTACTCTGAACCATGCAGAGACTTATCTGTTCAGGGGAAGGAACGCTCTACCTCAACTGAAGAGCATCTTGGGACTGGATTCAATTCCTGGCATCTCCACATAAGACTGGAAACGCCCCTTCTCTGAAACATTGCAAGGCTCTTCCAGCCAGTGGGGACCATACTAAATTAAATGGCCCAAGGTTCTGCCTATCATCTAAATGCTTCTGCACACTGCTGCCTCCCAACACAATCTTAACTAGGGATGGCAATCTGCGACCTTCTAAACACCGCTGGACTACAATTCCCATCATCCCGGAGTCCGTTGGCTGGGGCCGATTGAGAGTTGTAGTCCAACAACGCTTTGGAGAGACACAGATTCACCGCGAGAGATGGAAGTACGAGTGTGAGGGAATCTCAGCCTCTTCCCCCCCAAAATTATTCCTTTTGAGACTAAATATCGCCTTATCTGCTTGGGATACTGTCCAAATTCAGCCCAAAGTGGCAGTTAAGAGAAATAACAGGTATTTTTAAATGGAGCCCATTTTTTGAATCAAAATGGAGAGGCGGACTTTGGAGAACGAAGGGAAGAGGGGTGGCGAGAGAGGGAACCAGGGCGAGAGGCGGGGAAAGGGGCAGGAGGAATTAGCTTTTTAAAAAAATTTTGTGGGGTTGGGAACCCAGTTTTTTGGGAAGGGATGGGAGTAACAAGGGAAGGAGCAAGGGGAAGAAAACTTGGGAGGTATTCAACTGACCGGAGCAGATCTGGTCAGCAAACGGCGTTCAGGTGGAAAACAATTGGCAGGAATGAATGCAAAAACACACACACCTAAATAATAATAGGAAACATAACAGGGGAACTGAAGGGAGACTTGCACTTGCCAGGGGAGGGGTGGGAAAACAGGGGAAGGGAAGAAAGGGAAGAAGGAAGAAAGAAAGAACAAACCAGAATTAAGTAAAACCGGTAAACCATAGTTGAAAACAAAGACCAATGCTGTGAATCGAAGTCTGAAGGGAACCCCAAATCGTTGTTCTCAAGTTAGCCAGGGGGATAAAGAGAGCGTTTCAGCGCTCTCCTTGCAAAGTGGCCAGGAAGGAAGGAAGGAAATGTTCCCATGGGGGGGGGGATAGTGTGAAGCAATTCACGATACCCGCCACCCCTCCCCTGATGATCATATGGCTGACTGGGAGGAAAGAGGAGCATATTTATGCAAAAGCTGGGGAGAGGAAGGTGGAAGAGAACATTTGGAGTGAAGGTGTCATAAAAAGAACTACAAAACAGAAAATATGGGTTCAACACCATCTCAGCTCCTTGTCATGAGGTGGAGATGTTACAGAAGTCATGGAAGGCTTCCAGGTTAAGGACATCTTGAGAGTGCCCAAAGGTGGTTTATTTCCCCACTATTAAACTGCTATGGACGGTTAGGCTCTGTGGTTTAAACCAACCATGGTTTACTGTTAACGAAAACAGCAAACGG